AAAAATACAAAACGGAGGAGGAGGAGTATCTCACTCTCTCTACTCAACTCAAAGCTCTCATAAACTTCTCACAACTCTTCCTTTTTCTGATACATTCATCTTCTCCCTCCCGTCTCTATTTGTACACAAAGATGTGAGAGAGAGAGAGAGAGAGAGGAAACAAACCCACACAATTTCTACATTCTTTAATGGTGAGGGTGAGTGTCAACAATGGCAACAACGTGAAGAGAAGGGAGAGTTGCCAGCTCATACCTCCTTCTCTTGAGGTGGAAGTCGTTCTACGCCATTCTTCCTTAACTCTTCTACAACGTTATGACACCACCATCCAGTGTCTTCACCAATGGTCTGACACGACCATACAGTGTCTCTTATCCTCTTTTATTTTTATGTATTTTCTTGTTTTGTTACTCTCTCCAAACTCAAGTTGGTTAGTTTCTATCCGCCTTGAGTTTGCGGGGGGCTGTTAAAATTTACCATCACCTACCACCAATTTACCATCACCTACCACCACCTACTCCTCACCTACTCCTCACCTACTACACTCACCCTCTTCTATATATAGGAATCATGAATCATTGTAATAGATATCAATATAAATCAATCAATAATACAATTCTCTATTTCTCTTTATACATTAAATTTCTACACATTATATACTCTTGTTCTGATTTATTAGACTAATTTACTATGTGACGCACACAAGTATAGACTAATTTGCAAAAGTTGAAACATTTTGATTTCACGTTTGTTTCGAAAAGTGTTTGAATGTGTACCACTTGAAAAGTGATCTCATATGAACATTACTCAAATTATTCAAATTCAAGCAATTATCCATCATCCACAAGCATTCAAACAAGTATAGTACTTAAGCAGTTAGCCTAATGGCAAGCATACTAGACATTGCAACAATCACACTCGTGCAACATTCTAAAACAATAAACCATATCCCAATTTCCAAGGTGAGCCAAAAGAGAGAAAATAGTTAGAAAAATGCATGATCCTAACTAATGCAATATGCCTAATGCCACACATGCAAAAATGCAATTTAATAGGCTCAGTCACTAATTATGACATGTGAATCAATTTGATAGCATGCGGTTTAAACATGTATTCAACGAAGTAATAAACGACAATGCTTATTAGAATAATGAACCGAGCCTAATGCATGTAAGACAATGGTTGCAAATCATGAGAAATACTAAGTAAACATGATGCTCTATACAATCCAACATAAGCGGGTAAATAAAAGGGAGAAAGACGTAGGGTTAGAAGACATACACATTATTACAAGTTTGGCCCTCGCACAAGAGGGTCTGAATAAATAGTCTAGCTAATCACTATGAATTAACTAATCTATTACAGCACAAATGAAATAAACTAACTACGGTAGCTAATTATTACAACACCACGAATTAACTAACTACTTTAGCTAATGAAATAAGTATAATACAAAATTAACTAGATATTCTACTTAGTTTAATACAAAAACTAACTAGCTAATTACAATGCACAATTAATTAGCTAATTAATTAACTATTTTGAGCCCTGGGGAATGAGGGTTGACCCATGCATGCAGGTGGATTTCCACCCGAAAAAGTCCCCTGTTTTGCTGCCAGAATGCCTCTATTGCACAGTTACAAAATTGCACTGTTTTTCCACTTCAGCCTCTGCTCTACTCTGCTGGAAAAAAAAGACACTGCCTAGCTGGAAAAAGTGGTTGGCAAGCCAGAAATAGTGGCCTGCCACCCAGTAAAAGTGGCCGGCAGTTGGTTCTATCGTGTTGCAACAGAGATCAAACAGAGCACAAACAGAGTATTTCCAGGGGATGTATGTCCACTCTACCTCTCCTTATCAACAAACAGGTCAAAGGACAGGTATGCTTGATTCGTAGGCCATCAATTGACGTAATTTCATTGCGTGATGACTTATAAACCAAGGGGTAAGATTTTAATAAATGGTAAGGAAAGACCAACAAAACCCCATCCCTATCATGGATTGATCAAGGGAAGTGGTTAACCTTGACAATTTGAACCATTTCATCACTAACAACTATGAAATGACCCAAATCTCCATGTGTTCAATTAACGTCCAATTGAACACCAATTCATTTTATTATCTTGCTTCATTTTAATCCCAATTTTATTACTCCATTGTAATTACCTTCCATTCATTAGTCAATTAAGTTCAATAATGAAGATTAAGTCCACTAATGGAGAGAAGTACCAAACCAAATGTTGTTTTAGGCATGTGAGGGAGATCATGCCATTGGTAATGAATCCCTAAAGGGATTAAACCATTAAGCACAATACCACCCCTTCAAGCTTAAACAACACTCCTTTTGGAGCAACTCTCAAAACAAAGAGAAAAAGTCAAGAAATGAGGGAGAATGCAGAGATGCTTAGAGGTGAACACAAGTATGGAAAGCAAGAAATAAAAGTTATCAACTCAAATAGGTTAGTGTCTAATGCCTAAAACACCAAACTTATGAGGACTATTACACTACAAGCATACTATACAAAGCATGAATGAAGCTAACTCACAAAAATAGTCAAAAAAAAGTGCTGAAACGAAGACAAAAACAACTACAACAACAAGCTACAATATTGAGGAATTAAACCTAGTACACAAGTACAAGGAGGGGAGGCTAACCCCTCCATTTTTGAGACTTCAAAACATGATTTTAGCCTCTAAAAAATCTCTGAAAATTAATGGTAAAAAGCTCAAAAAAAGTTGATAAAAATGTGGGAAACACAAGGGTAAAGGCCTAAGAAGTAAGGTTCAAAGAAGAGTTGTCAACCCCCTTACCTTTAATGGCTTTAAACCACAAGTTTTAGCCCAAAAATAAAGGTAATAAATAGCTCAAAAACAGTAAGGAAAGATGAGAAAAAAGATGGTACAAAAGAACTAGAATGCATATCTCTTAAAGATGAATGATCTCTTAAATTCCCAAACCACTATCTCACACTCTCAAGCGCTAAAATACAAGCTTAAGCACCTCAGCAAAGATCCCTTAAAATTTGGTTTAGAACGCCTAGGCAAAAGTTATGTAAGTTGCAATAGAGAGATAGAATTGTAGAGAGAGAGAAATTTTTCAAAATTTTGCTTTCCAAAATTTTCTAAATTCAAAATTTTTTCTAACCTCTCTAACAAAAGAGAGGGTCATCTATATATAGAAATATATGAGCGACCCGCAAAAATATCCTTACAAACATAGCTGGAATGATGCATGTATTTGTGGAGACAGCTGGCAGGAAATATTTGGTTTTTTGTACTGGTGGCCGGCAGGTCATTGGATGCTCAAACCTGAAAAACTACTATTTTGGTCCAAAACAAGGCATAAGGTTTGTAGGATCAAAACTGAGGCTTCCTACTGAGGAAGTCAAGCATTTGACAAGCGTACACATTCATCATTGAGTGATCAATCAGTGACACCCAAGTCTTAAAGGCCGTAAAAAATGGGATGTTTACACAGTGTTACAAACAACAGGTTTCAAAAGACAAACATTTGAGGAAATTCAACAACAGACCTCAAAATCTTGGAGTGTCCCAAAATAGTCCAAAACCTCTCCAAGCTCTACTAAATACTACATTTAGAGGCCTCAGTGGCGATTTCCATATAGTTGATGGGCAGTTTCAATCATCAACATATTAGATAGTCAATGTGATTAGCAATGGAGAAGAGGAATTAGATTTTGGATAGCAGAAGATGAAATTTTTAGAGATTAATGTCAAATGTACTAATTCCACTTCAAATGCCAATCTTGGATCTATTATATGGCCAGATGACACTACATCTCCTCCCAAAGGTTGGATGATTCTGACAAATGGAAAGAAGTTAGGGATAGGGGTACTAGTGAAAGACGATTTTAGTGAAATTGTGAAGGTAACACCAAATTTGGAAACTAACACGGCAACAGTCACTGGATACTGCATAGATGTGTTTGATTGTGACACCCAAATGTTTTAAACTTGACATCTCAATAAATAGAACTCAGAAATTAAAAATAATAATAATAATAATAATAATAATAAAATAAGTATATATATATATATACATGTAGTGACAATGATAATAATAAATAAAGGCATAATTTAGGAGATTAGGAATTTGATAGTTAAAGAAATACGTTGTGAAATACTACACATTAAATATTTTAATGAGTGATAAGTGGTGATTTATAGTTGGGTAGTGAGGTTTTTAGACGTGAACCTAACTTATCATTATACGTAAATTTTAGGAATCATTGTGGATTACCAAAGAGGATAGTAACCCTTTCTTACTTATAATTCAATTCAAACTTATAATTCAATTCGCAAGGCTTTGGCTGGTACAGGATAAGGGTTTAATAAAAAAAGAAAGAAAGGGATAAGACTCTTTGATTAGGATAAGTTTCAAGGGTCAAAGTTTATGAGTCAAGGTAAATGGAGTAAATCAGAGGAAAATTAAGAAATGTTGCCACGTATATGACTATGGCTTGGGCCTCACACATTGTTAGGTATAAATAGGGAAATGAAGGTCATTGGTGAAGCACAGAAACAAGGTGAGTGTATGAAGCGTAACGTAGCGAGGTTCTGAAGTGCAAGGAAAATAGCGATAAATTTATACTAGAGGTGAGTTATATTATACCTTGAGGTAGTATAATATGTTTTAAGAATGTCTTGAGTTACCCTTATATATTTTACGTATGTTTTGACTTACCAAAATCTATTTTATAAAATTTATGTTTTTTTTAATATTAATAAAAGTTATATTTTGTAAAAGTTTCAGCTACGTGGTTTCATTTCTAAACCCTATTTGCTGAAAAGTGAAACCCATGGATATGTTTGTTTTACTTTTAAAGAATATTTGGCTATGACCTTATATGAAAATATGTTTTGTGAGTACCACCACAGGAGTCCCATGCCTTGGGGGACTTAAATAACCATTGGCTAGTGTTTGACCACTTTGTGGTCCAGTGTTTGTCATGGATCCATTGACCAGTGTAGTGCTTGTCACTTAGTAATGTACCGTGGTTATAGTGATTATTTCAATTTCTGGCACTTAATTAATTTGTGTATTCAACTCAACTCAATTTATAATGTTTTAGCTTAAATAAATATCTATGGCCATTTTGTACCCCTCATAGTATAATATTTCTCACTCTGCTATATGCTTATAGCTGTTACCCCTTTCAGGTGACGAGGTTTAGCGGGATCAAGATGGAAAATAAATCGCTATGTTATTTTGTTTTTTAAGATTTCTATCTTTTATTATTAAACTCTTGTGATACAGTGAAGCTCAAATGACTATGTTTTATTTCCTTTTAAATAAACAGTTGGTACCCAGTTATTTATTTTAATTTATTTAATTTATCTGCTTGCGCTGTGATTACAGAATTATCCGAATTATTTTATTTTTATCTTGTTACGACGCTGAACCTTTAGGTACCGGGTTTGGGTCGTGACATTAATGCTCTAATGGCAGCATTACCGTATGTAGTTCGTTATGAATATGTTTCATTTGGAACTCCTAATTGGAAGAATAATGGGACTTATGATGACATTGTCTATCAAGTGTATCTTGGGGTAAACTCTCTCTTTTATAATCTTTGAATGAATTGGTATTTCTTTCATTAGTAGTAACCATGTTGTTTTATGTTTATGATGAACAAAAATTGGATGTTGTGGTTGGAGATACTACTATTATTGCAAACAGGTACAGTATGTGGACTTCTCATTGCCTTATATCGAGTCTGGCGTGTCTATGATCATGCCAATTAGAGATAATAGGAGGAAAAATGCATGGGTGTTCTTGAAGCCATTGACATTGGAGCTTTGGGTCACAAGTTTTTGTTTGTTCATTTTCGTAGGGTTTGTGGTTTGGTTTGGGTTATGTGTTATATGAGTTTTTATCTATCCTGTGTAGAAATATTTGTCTCTAATTTTGTTCTATTTTGTGAATTGAAGAGGGGGAGTGAGAGAAGAAATGAAGAGACTAATGAGATTTCTCAGAATCAATCGGGTACGGTTTGATGGGATGAGTGGGATCCAAGGCCTTTGAAAGTATGGAACCTGATTACCAATAAATCAAGCCAGATCAAAAGGGTTTAGGGTAGGAGGGAGAAAGGAAGAGAGAGAGAGAATGGTTTAGGGTTTCTGGTTCGTTTGATGAAGGATGAAGATTGAGATATGTGTATATATATATAGAGAGAGAGAGAGAGCCAACGGTTTAGAGAATTGAGAGAAAGGGAGAATATTGTATGGTGCCATTGGATAATTGGAAAATAGAGGTTGGAAGGTTCTGGATATCTCAAATGCTACATATTGTAATTTTATTTTCTTTTTCTGTTTGAACTGGAAACACATTTTGTATTGAACAGCTATAAAAATATATATTTTTTAAGAAATTTCTTAAAAGGGTCAAAAAATAAACAATAAAAAAATCACTCAAAAACCTATATCTAAACACACCTACAAAATTGGAAAGAAAGTTAGTTGAGATTTGTCAAAATAACTTTGTATCATTGAAGCACCATTGTTATAATTTGAAAAATTGCTACTGTTGTTAGGGAAAATATGTGATTCTCGACAAGTAAATCAATCAATGGGAATAAAAACTAATGCGGAAAAATTAAATCAAAAGCAACACAAGAATTTTTACGTGGTTCCCTCAATGTGAGGTACGTCCACGGGATCGAAATCCGATTCCACTATCAACCAAATAAGTTCCAAACGATTACAAACGAGACACTAATGGTCTCACAAAACCACCCTTAGGTGAATTCCAAATAATCACAAATAAACAAAGAGGAAAGACCTCACCAAATAGAAGAACCAAAATCTTCAGAACCAGAGTTGAAGAAGATCCAAAATAACGAACCAAACAAACTAACCAAATATTCACCAACTTGTTCCACGCAAAACAGTGCACCAACTTGAAAAGAATCAAAGCATCCAATATCAATGTTTGGCTGCCACTCCACTCAACTTTGGAAAAACAAATATATTAGGCCACTGCTGCTCCTTCACCTTCGGCACACACAAAACAATATATATATATATATATTGTGAATCTAGGGTTTTGTTTTATCAAACCTTAGTTGTTTCCAAATTGGATTGGGTCTCCTCAAATATAATATATAAAAATATATTATACCTAAATCAAGTCAAATTAAAATTCTTTAACAAACCAATTGGGTCCCACACTCTAATAAGGAGGTATACCCAACAATTTTCCCTCTACCGACTTAGGTGGAGATATCAACCATACCTGCCAAAGTTCGACACTTTAAATGTTTGTCCATCGACAAAGTCTTTGTCAACATATCTGAAATATTATCATCTGTGTGAACCTTTTTGAGTTGTAACAATTTCGAATCTAACACATCACGAATCCAATGGTATCTCACATCAATGTGTTTCGATCTCGAATGAAAAGTAAAATTTTTACTCAAGTGAATAGCACTTTGACTATCACAATAAAGCACATACTTTTCTTGCTTTAAACCCAACTCTTGCAAAAATTTCCTCAACTATAACTCTTCTTTGCAAGCTTCCGTAATGGCAATAAATTCAGCTTCAGTAGTTGAGAGAGCAACACATTTTTGTAATTTAGACTGCCATGCCACAGCTCCCCCTGCAAGAGTCATCAAATACCCCGAAGTAGATTTTCTAGAATCAACATCACTAGCCATGTCAGAATCTGTGAACCCATCAAGTATCGGTTTACCATCCCCAAAACACAAACACACCTTCGAAGTCCCTCGAAGATACCTTAGAATCCATTTTACTGCTGCCCAATGTTCTTTACCCGGATTAAAAAGAAAACGACTCACCACACCAACGGCGTGAGCAACATCCGGCCTTGTACAAACCATGGTGTACATCAAAGAACCAACTGTTGAAGCATAAGGAACTTTCAACATCTCTTCTTTGTCATTCTCACTTATAGGACATTGATTCGAACTAAGTTTGAAGTGACCCACAAGTGGACAACCAACCGGTTTCGCTTTATCCATATTGAACCTCTCAAGAACTTTCTCAATGTAGCTTTCTTGAGACAACCAAATCAGCCCCTCTTTGCGATCACAAACAATTTTCATACCAAGAATTTGCTTTGCTGGTCCCAAATCTTTCATAGCAAAAGACTTGCTCAACTCCAATTTTAACCTGTTTATCATGGTAGAATCTTGACCCATAATTAACATGTCATCAACATAAAGCAAAAGAATAATAAATTTGCCATCCGAGAAATTTTTCACAAACACACAATGGTCCGAAGTGGTTTTAGAAAAACTATTATTCATCATGAAAGAGTCAAATTTTTTGTACCATTGCCGCGGGGCTTGCTTGAGGCCGTACAAACTTTTCTTCAATCTGCAAACAAATTTCTCTTTCCCCTTTTCCACAAAACCTTCTGGTTGCTCCATGTAAATTTCTTCTACAAGATCACCATAAAGAAATGTGGTCTTCACATCAAGTTGTTCAACTTCAAGGTTCATACTTGCAGCCATGCCAAGTACAACCCGAATAGAAGACATCTTCACAACTGGTGAGAAAATCTCATCAAAGTCAATGCCTTTCTTTTACCCAAAGCCTTTCACAACAAGGCGTGCTTTGTACCTCAGATTCTTGCCATCATTCTTCAATTTGAAAACCCACTTATTTTTCAGAATTTTCCTCCCCTTAGGCAACTTCACTAAATCATAAGTCTGGTTTTCAAGCAAGGAATTCATCTCCTCGTACATGGCCTTTTTCCAATCATCTTTCTTTGCATGCTCAATTGCTTCTTGATAGCTCTCCGGCTCCTCTTGATCAGAAATCAACACAAATTCATTGGGAGAATACTTTCTTGAAGGTTGTCGGTCTCTTGTAGATTTTCTTAACTCAAGTCGTGATGGCGGTTCTTGAGTTGGATGTTCTTCCTCAATTTCTGGCTCAACTTCATTAGGATTAGCATCATCCTTTACATCTTCAATAGGTGGCTGTACATCTCCCCCGTTTTCATCATCAACTGAAGATGAAGGAGATTAATCATGTTAATGAGATCACTAGTTTTTGGTTCAGGTTGATCACCTTTGCCAAAGTCTTCAATTGTTTGGTCTTCAAGAAACACAACATCACGGCTTCGAATGACTTTCTTGTCGACCGAATCCCACAATCTATATCCAAATTCATCATGCCATAACCAAGAAAAATACATTGTCTTGACTTGCTATCAAGCTTGGACCTCTCATCTTTTGGAATGTGAACAAAAGCTCGGCAACCAAACACTCTCAAGTGGTCATAAGATACATCTTTTCCGGTCTAAACTCTTTCTGGAACATCACCATTCAATAGGAAGGAGACAAATTGATCACGTCAACCGCTGTCTTCAATGCCTCACCCCAAAAGGATCTTGGCAATTTAGCTTGTGAAAGCAAACACCTTGTTCTTTTCACAATGGTGCGGTTCATCCTCTCAGCAACCCCATTTTGTTGAGGAGTCTTCTTAACTGTCTTTTGGTGCCGAATACCTTGGCTGCGACAATACTCATCAAATGGCCCAATGTAGTCACCACCATTGTCTGATCGGATGCACTTCAATTTCTGCCCTGTTTCTCTTTCAACCATGGCCTAAAAATGCTTAAATACTTCTAGAACTTGATTTTTAGTTTTTAGTAGAAAAGTCCAAACTTTCCTTGAATAATTATCAATGAAAGTAACAAAATAAAGTGCACCACCATGTGTTCTAACTTTTAAAGGACCACAAACATCTGAATGAATCACCTCCAAAGCATTTTCTTTTCTAGAAGCAACATTTTTATGAAAAGAAACTCTATGTTGTGTACCCGCCAAACAATGAACACAAGTTTTGAGATGTGTACCTTTCAAACCGGGTAGAAACTCTTTCTTGAACAATACTTGCAGCCCCTTTTCACTCATGTGACCAAGTCGCTTGTGCCACAATTCGGTAAAAGTATAATCTTGAAGTGCATTGACAACACCTTTACAAATTTTTCCTTGCATCGAATAAAGTGTATGAGTCTTCTTACACTTAGCCACCACCAAGGAACCCTTTGTGAGCTTCCATATTCCATCACCAAATTTGTTGTTGTAGCCTTCATCATCTCGCTTCCCGGTAGAGATCAAATTGAGGCGAATGTCGGGAACATGCCTCACATCTTTAAGCAACAACTTGCAGCCTAAATTTGTTTCCAAGCAAACATCACCCATGTCAATAATCTTGGACAAACCTTCATTACCCATTCGAACAAAACCATAATCTCCTTCGGTGTAGGTAGTGAAGAAATCAACTCGAGAAGTCACATGAAAAGAAGCACCGGAATCAGTCACCCAATTGCTCTCTTGGCCCACACAATTGATACAATCATCTTCACAAACGACCATGAGATCACAATTGGTAGTAACTGTCGTTGTGTCTTCTTACTTCTTGTCCACATTTTTGTCACGCATTTTCTCCTTATCCTTGAGCTTTTGGCATTCTCACCTCATGTGCCCTTTCTCATGGCAATAATGACACTCAATGTTTTTCTTTGAAAAAGAACCATCTTTTGATTTGTCACGGTTTT